GTCTGACAAGGCTGGAGTCTCATCCTGTAGAAGGCAGGAAAGGCAAACAAGGCCTGGACCTAGATTAAAGAACCTTAACAGTTATGTTTAGGATATAAGCATACAAATTTTGTACACCTTGCTGAGTTTCCCTGAGTTTATGTTTTTTTTTTTTTAACTTCTGAGGTCATGTGGCATCTTCTCAGGTTCTCATTACCACCTTTACCACCTTACCTAATAGCATAAGAATTCTTTCCTTGCACTTGCAGAATTCAGAAAGTAATCTGTAGTGTTGTTGCTTCGTGGCTGGCTTCTCCCTGTGTTCCAGTGATTGCCTTCTGATTGCCTTCCCTGGGCCATCTATTTTAGTTTCAGATAGCTCTAAATGTGAAATAATCTTCTCCACATTGAGTCAAAAGTTACAACTCTATTTATTATACCTGTTACAGAATATAGAATATATTCAATTGTAAATGGTAGAAGAATCTATTCAGGTATTTAACCCTGAAGCCCTAAAGCAGACTTGTAGCTAGTAGCACATGTATAATATGCCCTCTCCAAAATAATGTAACTTGAGAAGAACATTCTAGTCATCAAATGAGTGTTAGCCTGCCCACTTTGGATCTCACTAGCCCAACACTCAGCAATAAGGCTGAATTCCTGCTTGTTGGAAAGATGGGTCAGTAGACTGTTGGGACAAAGACTTTGGTAATTCAGATGAGGAATGTATAGCTCACGGGTAGAAGTTCAGTGCTCAGAGAACAGCTCTGGTTAGAGTTTATCAGACTGATGAGGCAGAAGAGGGAGTCGCTCAGGGTGAGAGACTGTGAAACAGAAACATGAGTGAAGATGGCCTATTTAAAGAGATGAAAGCTCTTACATGGCTGGATCATAGGATGTAGGAAGTGGCTAGAAATGAGACTGTGGAGTAGACAGGGATTAGGTATGAAGGGCTGTTTCTGTAGAAATTATTTTGGGATTCTATCTTGAATTGAGAAATCAGTTTTCTTAAAAGAGTCACTCTCTCCACATCAAGTGTAGTAAATCCTCCTCGTATGTATTGAATGTGTGGTATGCCTACATTAGAACATATAGAAAATATGGAAGAAGAAATAAAGATCACTTTTCCTTTCAGCTATCAGAAAAAACACTTGAAATATTTTGATGTATTTTCCTTATATTTTTATGCCTCTATACATAAAGGCATGATTGTATTGTAAATAGTTCTATACTGCTTTTCTCAAATGTTCCATGTGTCAGCTTTTTCCAGACTGTGACATTAAAAGATCTTTGAGAATTAATTTCCAATAGCCCCAAACATTATTGATATCTTATTATACTTAAATATCACATCATGGTTTATAGTTTAAACTGCTAGTGTTGTTTTTCTTTTATGATAGAAAACAATGTTGTTATAGCTTGTTTTTTAATTTGTGTTCGCATCTGCATGTTTATTTGGGGTAGGTCTAGCCACATCAGTGGTCTGGTGGCATAAGTGACATAGTGACATAGCCATGTCAGTGGTCTGGTGGCATAAATCTAGCCATGCGGGTGCAGGATGGACTGACTCCATGTGCACACTGACAAGTTTTTACAATAGCATTGCAGAGTGCTCTGGAAAGAGGTGGACTTGAGGTGAATAGATTAAGATGGCTATATGAACAATATAGGCAAAGTCAGAAGATGTCAATTAAGTCATTGGTGTTTTTTTTTTTTGGGGGGGGGGGGTCTGGTCATGGGGCCTGAACTCTGGGCCTGGGCTCTGTCCCTCAGCTCTTCAGCTCAAGGCTAGCGCTCTACCACTTGAGCCACAGCGCCACTTCTGGCATTTTTCTTTTTGCTTATGTGGTGCTGAGGAATCAAACCCAGGGCCTCATGCATGCAAGGCAAGCACTCTATCACTGAGCCACCTTTCCAACCCCCCTCATTGGTGTTTTTTTCCCTTTTTTTTTTTTTAACATAAAAGTGTTTTTGTGAACTTGATGAAAGCTACCAGGACATTTTTCCATGCTAACTCAGATGTCTCAAGGACACCTTGAGGTGACTATATTGAGCAGGGAGTAGAAAGTGATGGAAGCTTCTTATTGCCTGATCAGTGATAGGAAATACCGAAGAGAATAGCTAAGTTTGAAGGGTTGTTCTGGGAAAGGAGATACTATTGCCTTTAAGGTACAAGGTAAGCTGTCAGGGAGATAGTTTACAAATTGGCCTAATAGCTTAGAAAATAGGTCAAAGCACTGTTTCTTTTTTTCCTTTCTTTCTTTTTTTTGGTACCCCTTGTCTTATATATATGTTTATCTGGTTTGGGGAAGGGAACAGGAATAACAAAATGGCGAAACAAAGGACAAAGGGTGAACCAATGCAACAGCCATACTCAAAAAACACTATGTTGGAAATGAAATTTACAGTTTGGGAGGCAGAGTAGTGGGGAGGGAAAGTGAGAGAAAAATGAGGGAGGGGGTAATGATATTTAACAAGAAATGTACTCATCTTACTTATGTAACTGTAACATCACCTTTACAATAATATAAAATTAAATTTTAAAAAAAGTCAGAGGAGAACACTTATGTATTGGAGCCATTTACATGAAGATGATGGAGCTGAAATTCTAGATGCAAAAGCATTTCAAAACATCAGGCATTTATGATAAGAAGACCAGTGACATACCATCTTATTCTTAGGGATAAGAAGACTTATTATTAAGTAGTAGACAAGGAGAAATTAGAGAAGAAGCTGTAAGAGGCTGTAAAAATAAGAAAGAAAAAACCACCAAAGAGAATAGCACTGAGGCAGCCAAGAGAGGCAAGAGTTGCAAGGAAAAACTGATTGAATGGTTGAGTGATACAGACAGTGTCCACAGGAGACATCTAAGTGACCCATGATCCATCTGAGCATGTGAGGAGAGCCAGCAGGTAGCAATGCATGAGAAGTAAAGTTAGCCAAAAGGAGTAGAGTTCTTGGGCTTTTTTTGTAAGATTGCTGTAAGGTGCCAGATAGGGCCATAGAAGCTTTTTTACTTTTTTTTTCATTAAATAGGAAAAGCTATGTTTCCAACTTGTCATATGACTTAGATTACGTCTCGGCATTTGCTTTTCTTCACATTTAAAATGCTTTTATTGCAATTACGGTTTTGGACACAATATACTCTGTCCAAGCTTCCAGTGGAGCCTGTGCCATTCAAGCAGCATCTCAAGACTTGTGTAAACCAGGTGTGACTTTCACATTTTTTTGTGTCTCACTGAGTCTTTTTAAGCTTCAGCAACAATATTTCAATTGCCTTCAAATTACAGAATGTAACTTGTGTCTTTGAAGTTTGTTATCTGAATTGTTTGAAAATAATAAAGTCAACATGTAGTTTAAAGAGTATTTTTGTTTTGTTGCCAGTCACTGAATGACAGAGAGCTTTAATTCTAGCAAGCTTTAGTTAGAAAGAGAAAAAAAAATCAAAGGGTGATGTCAGCAAGAATCATAGTAAACCAGATCAAGAAATGCCTTATTTGTTACACAACATCAACTGTATATGTTACTAACAATGAAAATATTATATCTCAGAAGGGTGCATACTATCAGTCCCCTTCAACACAAAATAATGTGATGCCCTGTGGATTTCAGAAATTTATTTCTCTGAAAAGGTAATGCTAAATGATTCCTGGCTTAAAAATTTATAGCAAATGTTCCTAATAAAGGAAGAAATATATAATCAATGCAGCATATTCATTGTCTTTTTTCCAGGTTGGCAGTGAAATAGCCTGTTTTTAGTATTATTTCTTTCAGTATAATTGCTGTAATGCTGTTCACATAAAAAGTTGTTGCTTTTAGAATGTCATCATACTATGCTAGAAAACAGTTACCACGTAGGAGATTAAATAGAGCAGTATAAACATAAAGCAGTATAAAGATAATAAAAAACTTGACTATCTTTATTTTACCTCTTTGAAGATAAGATTTTACTCTGAAATTCTTGGTTCTTTTTTCTTTCTCTTTGCTTTTTTTCCCAGTGAAGTTCACTATCATTTACTTTAACTCCCTTTGGACTTCTCATCCAGCCCAGAAGATTTTGGTCATTCCATTAATCATTCTTTCAACTCCATGACTTTTCATAGAACTTTAGTTCAGTCTGCTGAGGCTCAGTCTGCTGTGCCTGGGCTGCTGGCTAAAACTTGGCAACTGACAATTGTAGCCTTTATAAATGTATGATCTCTGATTTGTTAGGCTTGTCAGGATGACTTTGCAATCCTCATTTGTTTTCCTAAGCAGATCTATTCTTTGTGGCTATTGTATACTCTCACCCCTATCTTTAAACTTCTTCCTGTCACCTCTCCCCTCATTCTCAGAAGATGGTCTAGACTCCTGTTTTACGGAGACCAGTAGGGAAGAACTTGTAAACATCTCCACCTGTTCCTATCTATACTGTTTCTCTCATGTATTTTGTCTTCTAGCTATTTTTCCTACTTTCTCCCCACTTCTAGTTTTGCCAGGCTGATCAACAGTGTTCAGCCTTCATTTTATTGGTCTTTCTATGGCATTTTGTCATTAGGGAGCATCTTCAGTATTTATGAAAACCTCTGTCTTTTGGTTAGTCTCCTGCTTTAGATTTGCACAGATTCAATCTTGCCATCTTTCTAAAGAAAATTCCCTTTGGAATTAAAAAAAATAAGCATTTGATGCTTTAAAAGCAATAATTGTGGAAAGCTTGTAACTCAGTATTGTTTATTTTTAGGTATTATATTTTCATGTTATAGAAATACATTATAGTTCAGCATCAGTTAAGTTTCATTTTTACTAGTTTATATTAATTGTACAGAAAGGTTTCATTGTTATTTCTGTACATGCGTATAATGTACTACTTTACCCCCTTCAATTATACTTCAAAAGTAAGAAATATTTCTTTTCTTGTAATGCTTGATAGTTTACTATGCATATGTATATTATACAACATGTTATATATTTTCTTAAGTATATACAGTAAACATATAAGAATATTAAGTATATTAACCATTGCTTGGTTTATTCCTTTCTAGTTAATGAAGGAATTTCCTCTCCTGAGCATGTTCAACATCCACGAAAACCTTTTAGAAGCTCTTCTGGAACTACAAGCATATGCTGATGTTCAGGCAGTCTTAGCAAAGTATGATGGTAAGTCCTTGGTATTTTTATGTACTTGAGAACCTCTCTCTTCTTGGTATAGCACAGAAGTTGCATTGGAAGGATCCTTTTGAGTAGAAACACCCTTTGAAAATGCTGCTTTCAGACACTTTTCACTACTGGTTTTATGATAGTGTTTTATACAATCTTAGAAGTTTGTATTTAGCATAAGTAGATACATTGTGTGGCTTGTACACCATTTCTATTTGTCCTGTGCAGACTCTGTGGCACTCTCCCTGTCAGGCATTGTGTGAACTCTGCTGGATTCCCTGCGCAGTCAGGAAGCAATTTGAAAGTGCTCAGACCTGGTTGCAGTAGCAACTATTAGAGATCTTGTTGCTATGCCATGTCAGTGATGCTGACCCTCTGGAGTAGTTTAGGACAGCCAGTGGCCCTGAGACATGGGAGAGCACAGTATGTCAGTGAAGATGACATAATATTCCTTCACCTTAGGTATTTTCTTCACTGGGAGAAAATTTAGTTCCTTTATATACTTACTCACAAACTTACTCTATTTTGCCTGTTCTTACTACACTAGAAAAACAAACCTATGTACTCAAAAGATTTAAAAGCTCCTCTGGTTATATTGCTATTACCAGTGAATTCACTATTGGATTAATCATACAAAAAGAATCTGCATCCTTACCTCTCCTGACTAAAATCTCTGCAGAACTTCGCCCTGTACTACCTTAATTACTCTCTCCTTAAAATAAATGTGTTTTGTTGTAAAACTGATCTTACAAGAGATAACATATTACAAAATCATTTTTGCCTTCTAAAATGTTCTGTCTTTAGTAGGGTTGTTTAGTTCACATAAAGCATTTTTCAGGGCTGAGGATTTAGCTCAGTGGTAGAGGGCTCAGCATGCACAAGGCCCTGGGTTGTATTCCCAGCACAACAAGGGATTTTTTAAAAAGAATATTCTGATCACAGATTTCCAGGATTTTGCAAAACATGTACAACAAACACATTTTTGACAAAAAACTCTTCATAAGGTATCTCTGAAATGGGTTGGGATTGTTACCACCTATTATGGAGGGAACTGAAATATTGTGAGACTGTTGTTTTGTGTTTGTACTGTTTTCCCTGAATCCTTGTTCAGATTGGTAGAAACTAAATGCCTTCAGCCAGTGATGGCATCATTTTTGCTTCTGCAGACATGAGCACCCTGTGTAATAAGATATACACTACATAGTATGGAACTGATTTTAGAAAGGGAGAGGAGTATTTGCAGAGCCCTGTTTAAAGTAAACAAAATGAAGATTGGCCTTCACAGCAGCTCACTTTTATGTTCTGTTTATATGCTAGAATCACACTGTTAACATTTAACAATAGTTTAACCTTAACTTAGAGGTTCTTTCAAAATCTTATACACTGAGGTTTTTTTAGTTTGAACAAACCCAGTCCTGTGCCCAGAGGTTCAGGTGGCAAAGAATTCTTCCAAATGTCCCACCAGAGTTCATGCTTGCATTGCCAGTGCTGACCTGAACTCAACCTGAAAGGAACAAGTATTTGACCAATAGAGCTTTTGAGATCACAAGTCTCATAATGTTCCTTTCATGAAGATCTCAGTTTATTACAGAAGTCATCAGCCTTGTGTTAGAAAATTGATTGCAAAATAAAGAAATGAACTCATTTGGAGCTATTCCTTGTCTCTCTGTATCCTCTTGAACAGTCTCTGTTCCACAACAATTGAAGGCTGATTTATTAGATTCTGATAACATATGTTCACATTATTTGTTAAAACAGCCCGCCCCGCTCTGCACTAAAACTTGGCTCACACTTTGAAAAATTCTTTTTGTTGTAAGTGAACAAACTCACCATATCAAGGTCCTTGTGTTGAGCTTTGTTTATGTTGTGTACCTGGCAACAGAGATGATGTTCTTGTTCATTATTCATGGAAAAAGAGCCTCATTAGTGGCAGGACACATACTGTTGCTGAGATGCCTTGTTAGGGGTTTGGAGTTCAGCAGTTGTCAATAGAATGCAGATGACCTAACTTCAACTGAATTCTGGAGGGAGCTTTGGTGCTGACTTGGCTCAGGACTGTATCATTTACAGTAGAAATATAATGAAGTGGCTGCTGAAATTACTGTTCTTGAGGGGTGAGCGGCAGCCACTTAGGACTGTTGAAAAAAAAACAGAAAAAAAAACATGTCTCTGTGCTTCAACACATACCATAGAATGGGTTCTTTCAAATTTGTCCCTGCTAAATTTTCTAGAGATCCAAAGATCCTGCCCCTTCACATGGAATTGGGTACGTTAGGGTATTTGGAGTAGAGAGCTTAGGGCACCCTATTTTTCACTCTGCTCACATGCACTCATTCTTATCAGAAATGCTGGAGAAAGCACTTTGAATTCCAGCTCCTCCAACCCTTCCATGGAGCTACACCCAAAACACGATTGTGTGTTATCTTTGCAAATTGGAATGCTCTGGTTGGGTAGCTGTTTCTTGGATAGTTTATGGGTACATCAGTCCTTATTTATTACATTTTGTTAAGTGGCTGAACTTTTAAAGTAGTGTGTTGGGAAGTGACTTGATGAGATTAGTGCTGCTTTCCTGACTTTTGCAAAAAGGGATTTTGAAAAATGACAAGACACATGAAGAAAAAAAAAAGTTGGAGCATACTTTGTAGGAAGAATATGGGAAAGAAATACATTCTCTTGGCTTCATAATTCTTCTTTACCATTAAAAAAAGTTTGGATTCGAATTTGAAAATTCTTGACAGTCACAAATTCTTCTTATGGTGAGGCCCTTTGGAAACCCTACGTCTCTACTAGTATTACCAGTTAATTGGTCACAAGTTCCTTGTAACCTGAAGTCTAATTTCGATTTTGCCCTTGAGATGATGTTTCACATTATATTATTCCAGCCATTATTCTGAAGTAATCCATTAGTCTGAAGTAGGGTTGTCTTGTCTTCCTCAAGTTTTCATGATTCCCAATGTGTTAACCAACACATAATATATATATATAAATATATATTATGTATTATATATATTATACTATATATACACACACAAATGTTTGTTCCTAGTTCTATATCCTTTATACAATGACTAAAGTAACAGCAGCACTTAGCATTTTATTGGGTTCTTATAATGTGTCAGGTATGATTCAAAGTGTTCGTGGATGCACTCATTTATCCTCACCACACAAGTATTTGGTGAATACATCATTAGTTCCAGTCTAGAATTGTGCTGTGTGGGAGAGGTTAGTTCACAGGAAGCACCTGCAATGTCAAAGTAAAGACATGTAGATGATGTTATAAAAGAGAACACTCATTGTTGAGCATGATATGAATCCTGAGAGAAGGAAAACCAAGGATGCAACTCGAGATGGTCCAGTCTAGGCCTTTGCTTTTAGCCATCACCCACACTGCTCTTGGCAATATTTTGATTTGTTAAATTAATACCATTATTCTTATTATGAGTGACACTTTAGGAGGAACCTACCATACACCATCACAATAACCTTGCTTGGAGTTAGTTGCTCCATTTCATCAGATGTGGTTTTGTGAGTTTAAATACCTTGTAAGACTGTATATTTCTAGTCATCTTAAAATCTGGGATTCAGACACTAGTATTGCTGACTGTAAAGCCTGTGTGTTTCCGTAAGTGTAAGCCTTTCTAGAGTGACTATGCTTCTTTCATTTTACAGAGGCATGAATTAGATAGGCGGTGGTGCAGAATTTTAGTGATGCCAAAATGTCTTTGAAGATTTCTTTCTAATCATTCTCTAAGCAATGAATATATTCATCTGTATTGATTGTCTTTTTGTGAAGCTATCTGCAAAATGCTATTTTTCATCTTCAATCAACTTGCACTTGATTTCTTTGATCACAAAGATTTGCTGTTCGGAGGTCATCGAATTTTAGATTTATCATCTTTCTTTTCCAATCATTTGCTATAAAGTCTGATGTTTGTAAGCCTTGTGAAAGCTTTGGATTGTCTTCTAAAGAAGTTTTTATAGGCCACTATGTTGAAAACTTGAATCTCAAAGATTAGGATAGTAATGTGGGAAATAAATCATATATTTCTTATTCACTATCATTTGCACATTTCAAGTTTAGCAGAATCTTAGAGCACAGGTGAATTGAATGAGAAGGCTATATAGAACATTTAGGTACACTTGTTTTAGCCTGCCTCTAGTTAACCATCCCTGGGCATTCCAGAAAGCCATCATTGGTCATGTTGAAGAGGTGGGTCAAACTTTAGCTCCACCTTTCCGGTTCTAGATGAGTGAACTCAAATTACTTAACCTTCCAAGCCTCAGTTTCTTTCTCTGGAAATGGATTCAAGGATTAAAAAAAAGCTAAATTAACTTGCTTGAGATAACACGGTTGACCATTTGTTGTGAGAATGAAAGTATTTTAATACATTTTAAGTATTTGGAACTGTGTAGGTCAGAAAAAGAATTGTGAAACTATTAGCTGTTCTAAAGAGCCCAACTTGCTACTTTGAACTTCACTATACTTGACATTTTATAATTGTAAATTGTCAGTTGCACTGTGAGAATAAGAGCTCAGTCTGGAGTTACCTCAAAAGCCAGTATTGTGTCATGCTATTGTAATTCATTCGCAATTTAAAAAGACACATGTGTAGATATTTGATAAGAACTGAAGTGCCTAGTCTCATGTACAAAGAATTCTTGAATTTTTGGAAGATTGAAAATGGAAGTGCCAAGGATTTTCATTCTGATTGTTTCTTTGGACTCAAAGCGGTTTCATCCTTGGAAAAATTTGAACCAATGGAATTGTTGGATCTAAGTTCTTTTCAGTATTTCAATACTTAGACCATTAAGTCTTTTAGTGATTGCCCTATTTTGAGTACATTAGCTTCTCGGTAAGGAACAAGGTATAATGCAAATGTCTAAGTGCAAGATCATTTTTATTGATACTATAGAACTTATCCTAAATTAGCATTATTATCTGTCATAGTTTTGTGCAAAGGATATACTTGTTAGAGCAGTACAAGTATATTGTTCTGAAG